TCATAAGGTATACACATATACATGTACATACACATATACATGTACCTATTAACTTCAGGACTAGTACACAATGAGGTATGGTCCAGAATATAGGATGTACTTGATTAGAACTTATAACAATCACATAACCAAACGTCAAGTGACCCTAATAAAAAGAGATCCATCAAAGTGTAAGGATTAGCTTCATCATGGTAACTAGCTGTCTTGATAAGCATTCCTTACATTACAACAATGACTCTAGCAATTAAAACTGACCACAAAGCTACATGTACATTGTATCATTGCAATGTATAGCAAATTAACATAATAAAAGTACAAAAAGCATAATTATGTCAGAAATGGCCTTATACTCTGGAATATTAATATTCATACCAGCAAGAAAATCCTACTAACAGTAAACAAACAACAGCAAAGTATATCAGTGTGCATATTAAAATATATATGTATTTGGGCTTTTGTACTATGGTAACATACCATAGTAATGATCCATGTAAGTAATAGAGAAACTCTCCCTTTTCCAAATAATAAAAAAACACAATAGACGAGAATGACATCCAACAAGAAATGCAAAGAGGCAGACAAGCCTGAGAAAAGAATTACACACACTCAGTAATCAACACATTGAACAACATTCCTCACCGAAAACATACTGTAGCAAAGCAAACCCACCAACAGCACAAATAATACTCTACAAATAAAAGAATTAATAGTATATAAGAGGCAAGCAGGGCCTACCTGAGTGTTCTTTGAGGCATAGGGTATTATGAGTGGACGATAAATAAATGCCAGCGGGTAAGCTAAAATAGGAAGAGGTCAGTAACTTGCTGATATTATAACTATCTTGTACTTAATAAGAGTCCAAAGAGAAAGCGTGCTGCTGGCTCTGGAATGCTTAAAACTTCAGCAATGATCTCTACCACCATGTTGAGATGAGCTGCCAAACACGTGTCGTGGGTGGTAGGTGTGGTGAGTAAGTTTACTCCCACGTATGTTCATTGATTGGCTAAAACTAAACTTCTTAGTGTACCAAAAATTTAATGATGAACATAATATTGTATTAGTCTGACCTACAGTGACTAGTCAAACCATACAGTCCTGAGCCTACAATCATTGGAATACTAGACTATAATAAATCAGGACTCATACAAAGAGATGCAGTTGCATGCTGCATGGACTATAATAGCTGGAGTCAGCCTGGGGAATGGTGATTATTAGCGACATCATAGACACTTTATAGCGGCATATATATGTACAAAAAGGAGAGCATTCATTTTTGTTTCCATTGTCCCACTAGGATATTTATAATGTAAAGTACATTGTAAATCTAATTCTAAGTACATTATAAGTTCCACTACCTGAGGCTGATTACATTTTGGTGTTCATCGTCTAGTATTTTCAGAATGTCAGACAGTAGTGTAATGTGAAAACTGAATAGAACTGAACTGCACTAATTTGGTACACATCAACAGTAGGTGTACCAAAAATGATACTACTAAGATAACAACAATGTATATACACAAAGCGGAACATTTTTGTCCCCATTG